CCTCGCCAAACTCGCGTCTAACAAAGACACCGTTGAATACAATTTGGGTCTCTCAAAAAGAACCCTTAAAACTGTAATTAGGAAAGAACTTATTGATGAGTTTGGCGCAAGTAGACAAGTGCAAACAGGCACTAGTCGATCCATAGTTTACCATGATGAGATGTATCAAGTGAAACATGTATATGGAGCAAGTAACAAGATCACTAGATTACAAGATGTTGTAACCGCTAGATTAAGGTTAGGATATACCTCTGGCAGTATGTTTCCTCAAGCAGATGTAAACTAAATGTAAAAATTGGCCATACCTTATGGCCCACACACATAAACCTACGTCCTCATTTGTGTGAAGATAGAACAGCACAGGGACAGGTCCAACACACTGTGTGTGAAAATGGCACAACTGCTTCATCTCTATTGGCAAGATTATGGAAACGCATGTTAAGATTGTATCACTTTTTTTTTGCACTCGGTAACTTCACTGTCAGTTCTCATGTACAGAACCAAATACGCAATGGCGAATACTCACGTAAATGTGAATAACAAAGTGTGAGGCCAGACATACTGCCTCACACGCCTGTTCTCACGCATTTGTGAATAAGTTACCCTTTATGTATAGAACTAAACAAATAATGTAAATGAAATGCTGTGTAACTTTCAGTGCCATAATATCCTGACAACCGGGGTTAATTATTATGACCCTTTGTAAACCCTACTCTGTAATCCTTTTGCGCTACCGCTCACAGGATGAGTGTGGGGTGCACAATAAAGTAGCCGCTGCAAGCGGCAAAATAAAAAATCACACACACACACACACACACACACACACACACACGACCCAGAAAGCGCCACCAACAACAGTTAGTCGCAGGTGACCCACACAGCACTACCTTGGTCCTCTCTCTCTCTCTCTCTCTCTCCTTCCCCTCCCCTCCCCTCCCCTCTCCTCCCCTCTCTCTTCCCCCTTTTCTCTCTCTTCCTCCTTCCCTCTCTACTACTACTACAACTACTACCACAACTACTACCAGGACCGCTAGGTAACATACCACCAACCTAGTTACCGGTCCTGCCCCCCCCCTCCCCCACACACATCTCTGTTGTTAATATGACCACTGATACTTCACAACACACACTTAGCATTGACTTACGCCGTTATAAACAGTAACGCCGTCACCCCCGAGTGAGTTAGAAGACTACTAGATATTCTCAAAGTATTATTATTGTTGCTGTACTGTACTAGCTGATGCCCCTAAGTGATGCTAGTGATGAGATTAAAGTACTTTTTTTTTACTTTGTGAAGAGAGTGCCTGGTGTGGATGTTATTATTGTTGTTATTATTATTATTATTATTATTGTTATTATTATTATTGTTATTATTATTGTTATTATTATTGTTATTATTATTGTTATTATTATTATTATTATTATTATTATTATTATTGTTATTATTATTGTTATTATTATTATTATTATTGTTATTATCATTTTTATTATTATTATTATTGTTATTATTATTGTTGTTGTTGTTGTTGCTCAGCTGACACACATACACGACTTATTTCAGTTCATTTAAAAATTATCTAGCCTAACCTAACTCCTTCAGGTAGCGTGAGGTTGTTTAATCCTCAAGTGAAATAAGCTGGGGTACATAATCAAGTGAAATACCCTGATGTTACTAGTTAAGCTGGGGTACCTATTCTTTTAGTGAAATAAGCTGGGATACCTAATAAAGTGAAATGAGCTGGGGTGTCTAATCAAGTGAAATAAGCTGGGGTGCCTAATCTTCACGTGATCCTAAGAGACTGAACACACAAACCTTGGAAGACCCAGATGGAAGTGCCTAGGTCAGCGGTGTACGGGGACAACAGTTATCTGGCCAGGGGTCTGAGTGACACTGCCTCATTTGCATAATTATATATGTGTGTTATTACGGTAGCCATAACGGTAGAAGGCTCCAACTTCTACCATCACTGGCCTGTATCTGGAAGGAGGCGCACATCCCCACCCTATCCCAACACATCCCACCCCATCCTACTTTACTCCATCCTACACCACCCCTAACACACTCCACCTCACCCCACCCAAACACACCATATCCCCAACACACCCCACCCACAATACACCCTACCCACAACACACCCTACCCACAACACACCCCACTCCACCCACACCCCACTCCACCCACACCCCACCCACAACACATCCTTAGAGAGAGAGAGAAAAGAAAGATAGATAGATTAGTACAGTAGTAGTGGCAGTATTAGTAGTAATAGTAGTAGTTACCAGTTATATTAGTACATTAGTAGTTATAGTAGTAGCAGCAGTAGTAGCAGATACAGTAGTAGCAGCAATAGTAGTAATCGTAGAAGTAGCAGTAGTAGTGATCATAGAAGTAGCAGTAGTAGGAGTAATCGTAGTGGTAGTATTATTAGCTGTGAAGATATATCATTAAAACTGTCCAGTAATCCGTCAAAAGTTCCCGTACATGAAGGTCGCTGTCACCTGAGGCAGTATACAGGTGAGAGAGCCTTAGTGTGTACCCTGGGCACTTGGCTTAATCCCTTTGTTCGTAAGTGGTCTCAAAATAAACTACAACCACATGTTTTATTGTTGTAACGTGTGTGTGTGTGTGTGTGTGTGTGTGTGTGTGTGTGTGTGACCCACCAGATGTTGCTACCAAGCTGCTGGGATAATGTAGTGTTGTTGTTGGTGGTGTTATTGTTATATTTTTCTTGTTCATGTTGTTTTTGTCGTTATTTTTGTTATTGTTGTTATTGGTGGTGTTACTGTTGGTGTTATTGTTGTTATATTTGTTGTTATTGTTTCTGGTAGCCAAACTCTCTACAACACCACTTGTACTTCACCACCACCACCAAAGACCGTAATTTCATAAGTATTCACCAAAGTCGGTAATTTAGTCGTTATTTTAAGAAAGTCGGTAATTTAGCAGTTAGTAAATTCGGTGATTTCGATCGACATACAAACACACGAACTGTATAAAGTTGATTCTTAAGAACTTGGTCACTTTTTCCTTTAACTCTGAATAACAAAACACAAGTGATTATGATACAGTAGAGTCAAAGTGTAATTACCTATCCATGTTTATTTCCTTTTACCTCAAAATGTGTGTGTGTGTGTGTGTGTGTGTGTGTGTGTGTGTGTGTGTGTGTGTGTGTGTGTGTGTGTGTCTCATGATCTGGGAAAGTTATCATATACACAAATCAAATGTAAATAAACGCACAATACGTTTTGAATAGAAACTCCTTTTTAAAATGAAGTTCAGTTTTTTAATATTTCTGGTGGCAATTACTAGAGAATTGTCGGAGGCCCAACTGCTGCAGAAGCATGAGGTGGTGTGTTGCTGCTCATTCACCAGCCCCTTCGTCAGCGAGGACCAGGTGGAGAACGCCGAGTCGCCTGCCAACAGCGCCCAGACCGTATCACCCTCCCCCGAGAACCTTCCTGACCGTGAGGAGGACGTGAAAGATCTCCTCCTCCGTCTCAAAGATTTTTTGTCTGGCAAAATGATCCTCTGTCAGTGCCCATGCAGGAAATCCGGCCGTGACCAGGACAACACCGATTCCTCCTCATTAATTAGCGCCGCCGTCCGCAACTGGCTCTGGGGACCCCAAACACGCAACAAAACGGCCTCGACGAAGAACAAGACGTACCAGGCCAAGGGAAAGAAACACCCAGCTTTGGCCAAGAGAGAGGCCAAGGGAAAGAAACACCCAGCTTTGGCCAAGAGAGAGGCCAAGGGAAAGAAACACCCAGTTTCGGCCAAGAGAGAGGCCAAGGGAAAGAAACACCCAGTTTCGGCCAAGAGAGAGGCCAAGGGAAAGAAACACCCAGTTTCGGCCAAGAGAGAGGAAAAAACGCAGTTTCGGCCAGAGGCCAAGGAAAAACACCAGTTTCGGCCAGAGAGGCCAAGGAAAACACTAGTTTCGGCAAGAGAACCAAGGGAAAAACGCCAGCTTTGGCGGCCAGGGGGCCAAGGGAAAAGAAACGCAGTTTCGGCCAGAGGCCAAGGGAAAGAAACACCAGTTTCGGCCAGAAGAGGCCAAGGAAAAAAACGCAGTTTCGGCCAGAGAGCCAAGGGGAAAAAACACCAGTTCGGCCAAGAGACCAAGGGAAAAAGCACCCAGTTTCGGCAAGAGAGAGCCAAGGAAAAACACCCAGTTTCACGTAAAGAGGCCAAGGAAAAGCTTGCAGTTTCGACCCAGAGAAGCCAAGGGAAAAAACACCCCAGTTTCGGCCAAGAGAGGCAAGGAAAAACGCAGTTTCGTGAAGCCAAGGAAAAAACGCAACTTTGGCCAAGAGAGAATCAAGGAAAAAACACCAGTTTCGGCCAAGAAGAGAGGCCAAGGGAAAAAGCGCAGTTTCGGCAAAGACCAAGGGAAAAAAGCACCCAGTTTCGGCAAGAGCCAAGGAAAAACACCAGTTCGTGAAGAAGGCCAGGAAGAAACACCCAGCTTTGGCCAAGAGAGAGGCCAAGGGAAAGAAACACCCAGCTTTGGCCAAGAGAGAGGCCAAGGGAAAGAAACACCCAGCTTTGGCCAAGAGAGAGGCCAAGGGAAAGAAACACCCAGCTTTGGCCAAGAGAGAGGCCAAGGGAAAGAAACACCCAGCTTCGGCCAAGAGAGAGGCCAAGGGAAAGAAACACCCAGCTTCGGCCAAGAAGATAAATGCCCTGGCCAAGAGAGAGGTCAAGGGAAAGAAACATCCAACTTCGGCCAAGAAGATAAATGCCTTGGCCAAGAGAGAGGCCAAGGGAAAGATGACCAAGAAGGAAATTAAGGAATTAAAACAGGCTTTGAAAAAGAAGATTGTCTTGGTTTCCAAAAAAATGTTCGCCTACCTGTGATGACCTCCACCACCAGGGCCGGTGCTAGGAATTGCGGGGCCCAATTAGAAAATTGATAGTGGGGCCCTCTACTCTACAAAGTCGAAGATTGATGTTTTATATTTCGTGTAGTATGCCCGCCTTAGCCAAAAAGCATTAATTACTTGATATACTAAAAGTTTAAAAACAGTATAAAAGTTTTGATTTTTTATTACAAGTTAAGACAATTACAGACAAACTGTTTATGCACGGACCTTTTAGAAACACACTTTTCTGGCTTTTTTATTTGCAAAATCTTTCAAAATCATTTTAAAGTCAAGGGTTTTGGTAATGTCACTTTCTATAGATAGCATCGCCAAATTGTTTAGTCTTTCTTGTGAAATTGTTGACCGTAAGTATGTTTTAATCAATTTTAGTTTAGAAAAACTTCTCTCACCCGATGCGACTGTTACGGGCATTGTTAAGTAAATTCTCAAAGCAACAAAAACATTAGGAAATGCAGTGAATCGATTGTTTACTACCAGGTATTCAAACAGGGCTTGGGGCTTGGCGACACTGGTGGGCAGAAAAGTTTTCAGAGCTTCAAGTTCTTCAGCCAACAGATAACCATCTACATCTTTACTTGTTACAGTACCTACCTCTACATCAGTGTTCTGTTTTAGTTTGGTGTCAATTAAAGCTGCTTCAAGGTCTACTGTGTGTTTCCTTATTTCTGCCTTTTGTAAGCCCTGAAAGTTATTTAAAAATCCAAATAATTTTATATGGCTTTTAAGCTGCATAAATCTAGATTCTAGAGATTGAATAGCTTTGTCTAGCACTAAGGTAAAGCACTGAACTCTATATGCTTCTTTTGGATCATCAAAAGCTTGATCTTTTGCCTCATATGAAAACATTCTCTTCCTTCTTTGTAGTCGTTTATCTTGAAATTTCCTAAATTCTAGTGGTAATTCAACAGCTTCAGCCAAATCATTTGCGCCTATTAGGACATCATTAAAACCACTCTCTCTATATTTTCTTAGCCATGATAATAGTTTTTCAAATGACTCCATGCCTTCATCAATGTCCTTTGTTTTACCTTGTAGTTCCTTGCTAACATAGTTAACTTTAAAAAGTAAATTATGCCAAAATATCAAAGAAACTAAAAATTTATAGTCTTTTAGCTGGTTTGCTAAACCTTCTGTCTCTGCTTTTACCTTGGGCTCATCTGTTATCTCTGATGTTTCCACAAGTGCATCATATACTTCTCCAACCTGATAACGAATAGCTTTAACACTATCAATCCGACACTCCCACCTTGTGTCGCTCAAGGGTTTCACTGATAACCCAGGTACATGTTTCTTAAAAACTGCCCACCTCTTTGTTGATGCTGAGAACATTATGTAGATCCTTTGCAAGATCCCAAAAAATGTTATAGCATCTGGACAGCACTTGGCTACATCTCCTAGTAACAGGTTATAATTGTGACATGCGCAGGGTACAAAGAAGGCTCTTGGATTATCCTGCAACAGCCGTGCTTGTACTCCCGATGTGTGACCTTTCATATTGCTACCGTTGTCATAACCTTGGCCTCGAATGTCTTTCACATCCAATTTTAATTCCTCTAGTGTGTTTAATAATGTTTTATATAAATTTTCTCCTGTGCTACTTTCAACCTGCATAAACTGTATGAAATGTTCATAAACACCTGAAGGAGCCAAGTTGCCATCAGAAACATACCTGATCGTTAGAGACATTTGCTCCTGGTGGCTCAAGTCAGGTGTGCAGTCTAAAATTATGGCATAGTACTTAGCTGCTTTTACGCGATTCAGTATCTCATTCAAAACAGCTGTAGCCATAATGTCTAGTAGTTCATTCTGAGTATCTTTTCCTAAATAGTGATTATGAATTTCGTTGGCCTTGACTTTACGTAAATGTTCTTCAAGAACAGAGTCAAACTTTGCAAACAGCTCCACTAAACCTAAAAAGTTTCCATTGTGTACACTCTCATTACCAACTTTTTCTTCTGTCCCTCTTAACGCTAGATTTCTCTCAGCAAGAAACTGCACTATTGCCACTAGCCTTTTGAATACTTACTGCCAGTACTTTGCATGTTTATTAATAGTTAGTTCACGTTCTTTGTCAATACAGTGAAACTTAGAAAAACACAATCCCTTTTCATTTCGTGGAAACTTGTTCACTGGAATATCAGGAGGCCCTTTCATTGTTAAATAATCTCTTATATTTCTATTTATATTCGATGGCCAACTTGCCGGGTCATCATTAATGTTAATTACAACTGTACTTGTGGATGATCCATCACTGTTTGATGTTTGGGCTTGGCCTTCTGACTCTTCTTTAGCTATAAGTGGACTTCTCACTTTGGCACTGTCTTCTGTTGTATTAAGATCGTCTTCAGTTTGATTCAACTGTGTCTGTGTGTCAACTTGAACTTTTTCAAACTGAATATCAATTTCTTCATTGTATTCATCAACTGTAATTGGACTAATGGCTGTATTGTCATTTTCTGAATCGTTTTTGTCTTCTTCATCTTCAATACATGGGCGTTTCAAAGGTGGAGTGACAAGAAATTTTTTGATAGCACCTCGATGTTTTTCATTTTCAAGCACCTTTGCCTTTGCCAGTGCTCGCTTCTGGTTGCCATTTAAATACTTACGCCCTCTGCCTCTATCTCTGCTTGTGCTTGCCATGATGAAAGGGCTTTTTATATTATCTTTTCAGAAATGACATATAATAAACTGAAATGAAAAAACGAACAAAATTATTCACAATGAGAAGTCCCTGGCACTTAAAAAATAAGTATGTGCATATATGAATGCTATAATTAAAACAAAAAATCGAAACACTGATCCTATAAAATAAAAACCACACAATGTTTATCACCACTTCACCGGACAAAAAAAGCTTTAACCGGACATATAACACTTTGGCATGGATAGCACACCGCTACGTACGCAAAGATTCGGTTACCTACATAGAGCTATAGTATGTGCTTGCATGTGCTCAGAATCACAAGTCATTTTCTGATTCATCATCGCTATTGTCGCTATCAATCATGTACTCAGGATCAACAATTATCATCACTGTCCAGCACAAAAATTATAAACAAACCACGCCTCGGTCGCCACCCAGTGGCCATGCTTCTCATTTTCAAACTGATCTTATGTCTGACCACAGCCCAATCCAAGCTTGTATACATGTAGCCAATGACACCCCCACTGGTGGTAAACTCAACAGACGTAGAATCACAGTCAAGCAAGAACATGAAAGCCAGTTCATAGACTTCATCCATGACTGGTACAAGGACTACAAGCCTGACAACTACCAAAGTTTCCATGACGATCTGATAGATAGGACTTATGTATACTTCACCAACAATGCCTCCACCAAAAAAAGGAGAAAACGTGGTCAGCATAATGGGAACAGGCAACAGCAGTGCTATAATGACCCTGAGCTGAAAAAACTCAGGGCTAGGGTCAGGAGGGTGGGTAAGGGTTACAGACAATGTAGAACACCTCAAATGTTACAATTGTATCAAGCTTCCCTTGCTGCTGTCAGGGAACGTGTAAACGAACTCAGACAAAATGCATGGGAGACATATGTCAACAGCCTGAACCAACACACATCCCTCAGCAAAGCCTGGAAAGACATAAACATAATCAGAGGTAAAAACAGAAGACACGTCTCCCATCCAAACCCTCTGCAAAAGTCGAATGAGCTAATAACAAAGTGGGCTCATGTGTCGAGCTATGACATGTTACCAGCTAGGACTCGGGGACTCCTTGATGCGAAGTCTGTAGAGAGAAGTAATCTTATTAGCTTTATGCTGGGCAAACAGCACGATGAGTGTGATGTTCCATATACTGAGTGGGAGCTTGACGCCGCCCTCGCCAGGGGTAGGTCTACTTCCCCTGGAGAGGACGGAGTCACCTACAACATCATTAGACTACTAAGGCGCGTGCCAGGCAATCCATTGTTGGTATTGTACAATATGAGTCATGCCGAGGGCCAACTACCCACATCATGGACCTGCAGTATTGTTGTACCAATACCGAAACCAGGACAGCCTGATGCCTTTCGTCCCATATCACTAACCAGCTGCCTGTGTAAAACCTTTGAGAGGATGGTTCTTGGCAGACTCTTATATAGAATCAGAGAACACATGTCTCCTAACATAAATGGCTTCACCCATGGTAAAGGTGTACATAATTGCATCACCACATTCCTAACTGTGCATGGTGATGAAAGGCACAGATACACCACATTTCTTGACCTAAAAGCTGCATTTGATATTGCCAATAGGCAACTGATATTGTACGAACTAGCCAAAATGGATATAGGAGGTAGGCTGTTACACTGGATAAGTGGTTACCTAACCAACAGAAGGGCTGCTGCACTGTTTCAGGGTTACAAAAGTGAAGTTAAAGATATGCAACTTGGTACCCCTCAAGGTGGAGTACTTAGCCCCACTTTGTTCAATGTTCTTATGAATGCATTATTAAATTTAATACCAGACAACCCCAGCAATATCTCAATCAGCTATGCTGATGATATTCTTATACATACTAAAACTCATCGTGAAATGCAAACCACCCTGAACCATGTATACGCAGCCTGTGAGAACCTCGGTCTTATTATCTCCACTGACAAAACTAAGGTGTTCAACAAACAAGCTGGTAACCGCAAACGCGGCCCCGCCAAGTTCAAGATAGGTAACAACACTATTGACTATGTTTCTTCTTTTAAATATCTTGGTGTTTCCGTCCCTTGTACCCTACCTGCCATACAACAGCTAACCCGCCAATGTACTGACAGACTGAGACCTCTTAGAAGTGTAGCGGGGTACAGCCCGCACTATGGTGCTAATATTAGAATTGTTAAAACAATGTACCTAGGCTATATAAGATCTCTGATAGATTACCACGCACCAGCCCTGGTCATTCGTGACGGGAAAGGCGTTGACAAGCTCGAGAAAATGCAAAATAAAGCCCTCAGAATTATCCTAGGATGTCCCATGAGCACTAAAGTACTTAATATGAGGAAAGAACTAGGTATACCCAGTGTTAAAGATAGAATAATTGAAGTCAACCTCATGATAGCCCTGAGGCTTCTGCGTGGTGATCCTGATAACATTGTTTCCTTAAAATTGCTAGAATGTATGAACCATGGGACTACTGAGTCTAAATGGATCCAAACTACAGCTACACATATGAAGATATTTGGACTAGACCACCTGTACAAAGTTGAGACACAACAGCGCTTCCTGCCACCCTGGCGGACAGTTCCCTTCGATATCACAATACCGACGTATCCGCCTAAAAAATTAATTATACAAAGCATTTATCTCCAACACACTGCCAAATTGAGAGCCCTTGAACACATACACACTCTACAGACTGATGATAATATCACACAGACCATCTACACTGATGGATCTCTAAACACCGCCTGTGGGAGGGCTGGAAGTGCTATTGTTGTGACTCAACCTGACGGTAATATAATTGAGAAAGGAGTTAGAATTAACAACTGGGCATCCACTCTACAAACTGAATTAGTTGCCATACTCACAGCTATTAAATTCATTGAAACCACTGTTACTGACAGTCTCATCATCACTGACTCTCTATCCTCACTACTTGCCCTTGGTACCCTCGACTCAGGTTGTCACGATCTTGTCTCTGAAGCCAGACACAAATATGCGTGCCTTGTTGACCGGGGTGTCAGGGTCAAACTGTTGTGGATCCCCTCTCACATAGGCCTCATAAAACATGACAGAGTTGATGCCCTCGCCAAACTCGCGTCTAACAAAGACACCGTTGAATACAATTTGGGTCTGTCAAAAGAACCCTTAAAACTGTAATTAGGAAAGAACTTATTGATGAGTTTGACGCAAGTAGACAAGTGCAAACAGGCACTAGTCGATCCATAGTTTACCATGATGAGATGTATCAAGTGAAACATGTATATGGAGCAAGTAACAAGATCACTAGATTACAAGATGTTGTAACCGCTAGATTAAGGTTAGGATATAAGTACCTCTGGCAGTATGTTCCTCAAGCAGATGTAAACAAAACTAAATGTAAAGTGTGTGGCCATACATATGGCCACACACTTGAACACTACGTCCTCGACTGTGTGAAGATAGAACCTTTTAGGGACAGGTCCAAGCACACTGTGTGTGAAATGGCACAACACTTCATCTCTAATGGCAAGATAGCCGACATATTAAGATTGTATCCACTTTTTTGCACTCAGTAACTATATCAGTTCTCATGTACAGAACCAAATACGCAATGTGCTTGAATACCTCCCACGTAAATGTGAATAACAAAGTGTGAGGCCAGACATACTGCCTCACACGCCTGTTCTCACGCATTTGTGAATAAGTTACCCTTTATGTATAGAACTAAACAAATAATGTAAATGAAATACTGTGTAACTTTCGGTGCCATAATATCCTGACAACCGGGGTTAATTATTATGACCCTTTGTAAACCCTACTCTGTAATCCTTTTGCGCTACCGCTCACAGGATGAGTGTGGGGTGCACAATAAAGTAGCCGCTGCAAGCGGCAAAATAAAAAATCACACACACACACACACACACACACACACACACACGACCCAGAAAGCGCCACCAACAACAGTTAGTCGCAGGTGACCCACACAGCACTACCTTGGTCCTCTCTCTCTCTCTCTCTCTCTCCTTCCCCTCCCCTCCCCTCCCCTCTCCTCCCCTCTCTCTTCCCCCTTTTCTCTCTCTTCCTCCTTCCCTCTCTACTACTACTACAACTACTACCACAACTACTACCAGGACCGCTAGGTAACATACCACCAACCTAGTTACCGGTCCTGCCCCCCCCCTCCCCCACACACATCTCTGTTGTTAATATGACCACTGATACTTCACAACACACACTTAGCATTGACTTACGCCGTTATAAACAGTAACGCCGTCACCCCCGAGTGAGTTAGAAGACTACTAGATATTCTCAAAGTATTATTATTGTTGCTGTACTGTACTAGCTGATGCCCCTAAGTGATGCTAGTGATGAGATTAAAGTACTTTTTTTTTACTTTGTGAAGAGAGTGCCTGGTGTGGATGTTATTATTGTTGTTATTATTATTATTATTATTATTGTTATTATTATTATTGTTATTATTATTGTTATTATTATTGTTATTATTATTGTTATTATTATTATTATTATTATTATTATTATTATTGTTATTATTATTGTTATTATTATTATTATTATTGTTATTATCATTTTTATTATTATTATTATTGTTATTATTATTGTTGTTGTTGTTGTTGCTCAGCTGACACACATACACGACTTATTTCAGTTCATTTAAAAATTATCTAGCCTAACCTAACTCCTTCAGGTAGCGTGAGGTTGTTTAATCCTCAAGTGAAATAAGCTGGGGTACATAATCAAGTGAAATACCCTGATGTTACTAGTTAAGCTGGGGTACCTATTCTTTTAGTGAAATAAGCTGGGATACCTAATAAAGTGAAATGAGCTGGGGTGTCTAATCAAGTGAAATAAGCTGGGGTGCCTAATCTTCACGTGATCCTAAGAGACTGAACACACAAACCTTGGAAGACCCAGATGGAAGTGCCTAGGTCAGCGGTGTACGGGGACAACAGTTATCTGGCCAGGGGTCTGAGTGACACTGCCTCATTT